GATCCACCCGCCTCGGTCTCCCAAAGTGCTGGGATTACAGGCTTGAGCCACCGCGCCCGGCCCAAAATTCATTTCTAATAATCCTCCCAGCAAAATCAAGAATCACCTTTTTAGACATCAGACTAAATATCCTTGTGAGAAATTTTATACCAACAATATAAAAATTAACTTCTTCTGATATATTATAACCACTGCATCAGAACGGACATCCCAATACCCTGCACACCTATCCTGTATGTACGCATGGACAATTCTCTTTGGCGTTCCAAAATTGGTATATATTTCATCTGGCTCAGGAAACAGGAGCCAGTTTATATACCAAACAAGTGCTGATACATATTCGTGTCTGTTTTGGAGTGTTTTTCTTCTTTCTTCCTTATGATTTTCTACCATAAACATGTATTATTTGTCTACGGTAAAATTACAACTTTTTAAAAATCCCTCATTAAGTTCGTAGGGAATCACAGAAGCAGCAAATCCCGTTAAGTGAATAAACCATTGGTCCTTAAATTATTGCAACCAGCAACGGCCACTAGAATTTGCTGGGCAAAAGAAACGCAGTGGATGGGAGACACACTGGAAGAACGGAGGAAAAACAAAATCACCCGAGTATGATGGTTTCCAGAAGTAGGGTAAGTGGAATGGTGAATTTCCGGAGCACGGTGAACATCGGCAGGCTGCCAGGAAAAGAGCGAAGTATGTCAGACACCCGGGTTGGTTGATTGGTTTTTTTCTTTTACATGTTATATATTTTTAATTAAGCTTACTAATTTTCCAAATGAATTTTCACATTTACCATCAATAAATTACATTGAATAATAAAAAAAATACATGGAGATTAATTTCATACCACTTTCACTTAGCAATTTATTTATTTTTTATTTTTGGTGACAGAGTGTCACTCTGTTGCCCAGGCAGCAGTGCAGCGGCGCAATCTTGGCTCACTGCAACCTCCGCCTTCCGAGTTTAAGCAATTCTCCTGCCAGGCTGGTCTGAAACTCCTGCCCTAAGGTAACCCACCTGACTCAGCTTCCCAAAGTGCTGAGATTACAGGTGTCAGCCACCGCACCCAGTCTTCACTTGGCAATTTAAGACACCATACTGTCCAACCATCCTAAAGGTTGTGCTGAAAATACTTCACAAGGTGAACTGATACATCGTTTGACAAATCAAGTCAGGCATATGCATCAGCAATCATTAAATGGTCCTGACCAGCTGGGAGCGGTGGCTCTCGCCTATCCCAGCACTTTGGGAGGCCAAGACAGGTGGATCATTTGAGGTCAGGAGTTTGAGACCACCCTGGCCAACGTGGTGAAACCCCATCTGTACTAAAAGTACCAAAATTAGCCGGGTGTGGTGGTGGGCACTTGCAGTCCCAGCCACTTGGGAGGCTGAGGCAGGAGAATCGCTTGAACCCGGGAGATGGAGGTTGCAGTGAGCCAAGAATATGCCACTGCACTCCAGCCTGGACAACAGAGCGAAGACTCTCAGAAAAAAAAAAAAAAGGTTCTAACCTTGCATCTAATTACTTCTTATTGGGAAACTTATTCTAAGGTAATAATCTAAAGAAAGAAAAAAAACACATGCATAAATGTGTTCACTGCAGTGAACACAGTTTTCTGTGGGAAAACATAAATGTCAGACAGCATCACAATGGTTAAATAAATTAGGATACGTACTTGAGGGAACATGACATTATAACTCTACAGCACAAATACTACTGGAAAATGAATATTAAATAAAATGAATGGATACAAAACCATGTAGGGTCAACAACTATAACAAGATACATTCTGTATGTGGGAAAAGGCTGCAAATGATTATTTATTTATTTAGAGATAAAGTCTCACTCTGTCCCCCAGGCTGTGCAGTGCAGTGGCATGATCTCAGCTCACTGCAATCTCCACCTCCCAGGTTCAAGCAATTCTCCTGCCTCAGCTTCCCAAGTAGCTGGAATTACAGGCACCCACTACCACACCCGGCTAATTTTTGTATTTTTAGTAGAGACAGGGTTTCGACACATTGGCCAGGCTGGTCTCGAACTCCTGATCTCAGGTGATCCGCCCGGCTTGGCCTCCCAAAGTGCTAGGATTACAGGCATAAGCCACCGCGCTGGGCTGAAAATGAGTATTTAAAATTGTGTGTTAAAGTGTAGACTTATGGGTGATTTTCTTGCCCAAATTTTACGTAATGAGGCTATACTGCCTTAAAATATATACTTACGAACCTTTCACCCACTCCTAACACCCAGAGATTCCAGGATGCAGCTCAATGCATAGTCAACAGACTGCCAGGGCTGAAATAGCCCATCTCCACCTGCTTCCAGATGCGACCCTGAGCGGCCAATGAGCTAGAGAAAGAAAGTCAGAGCCGGAACAGCAGCACAGGGAGAGTGGCAGCTTAGCCAACCAGACCCAGCACGGGCTTCACATTGTCAAACACACTGCATCCAGAGAGCAGCTAAGAAAGAATGTTCAGGAATTTTATATTCACACCTAAAGATGTCTTATGAGACTGGCTGGACCTACATTTTTCAAAGCTGCAATAACAACAAAACTTTCTATATTTTCAATTAAGTCCAAAAAGTATTTTAGATTATGCCTTTTAAAAGCAAATAAAGTATATTTAATGGTTAAAATATCTTCCCTCTAAGATCGGGAGCAAGACAAGGATGTTCAGTCTCAGCATTGTATCTATTCAACACTGTACTTGAGGTTTTGATAGTGCAATTAGATAAAACAAACATCTCATTTGGAAAGGAAGAACTAAAGCTATCTGTATTTGCAGAGAACACCTTATATACAGAAAATCCTAAGGGACCCACTTAAAAATTATTAGAACTATGATAAGTGAATCAAGCATATGTGCAGGAAATAAAACTAATATACAAAAGTCAACTCTAAATATACACTAGCAATGAGTAATCCAAAAATGAAATTAGGCCAGGCACAGTGGCTCATGCCTGTAATCCCAACACTCTGGGAGGCCGAGGTGGGTGGATGACTTGAGGTTAGGAGTTTGAGACCAGCCTAGCCAACATGGAGAAACCCCACCTATATGGAAAATACAAAAAATTAGCTGGGCGTAGTGACGCATGCCTGTAATCCCAGTTACTCAGACGGCTAAGGCAGGAGAATTGCTTGAACCTGGGAGGTACAAGTTGCAGTAAGCCAAGATCACACCACTGCACTCCAACCTGGGTGACAGAGCGAGACTCCGTCTCAAAAAAAAAAAAAAAAAATGAAGTTAGCAAAGCAATTTCATCAACAATAGCATCAAAAGCATCAAAAAGAATAAAATTCTTAAAAACAATTTTAACCAAAAGAAGTGTAAGACTTGTGTGGAGAAAACTACAAAACATTGTTTAAAAAAATTAAAGAAGCCAAGTACAGTGGTTCATGCCTGTAATCCCAGCACTTTGGGAGGCTGAAGTGGGAGAACTGCTTGAGGCCAGGAGATCGAGACCAGCCTGGGCAACCGAGGGATAACCTGTCTCAAACTAGAGTTCCCATGAAAGTTGATTGTTAGAGGAGCCTGATAGCACCCGCCCCACCTTGCCACGTGGTCTTTGCACACACTGGCTCCCCTTCCCCTTCTCCCAGGAGCGGAAGCAGCCTGAGGCCCTCACCAGATGCAGATGCGGGTGCCATGCCTCTTGTACAGCCTGCACACCTGTGAAGCACATGAACCTCTTTTCTTGATAAATTACCCAGCCTCGGGTAGTCCTTTACAGCAACACCAACAAAGTCACCGATTCAACACAATCCCTATCAAATCTTAGCTCTTACCTGGCTTGATCTATTCTTTTTTTTTTTTTTGGCAGAAATTAGCAAGCTAATTTTAAGATTAATAAAGAAATGTAAGGGAATCAAAAAATCAAAACTATCTTGAAAAAGAACAAAGTTGGTGCATTCCTACTTTCCATGTCAAAATTTAATACAAAGTTACAGCAATCAAAACTAGCTAGTACTGGTTTAAAGATATATAAATATATATGGCTGGGCATGGTGGCTCATGCCAATAATCCCAGCAGTTTAGGAGGCTGAGGCAGGCAGATCCTTTGGGCCCAGGAGTTTAAGACCAGCCTGGGCAACACGGTGAAACACAGTCTCTACAAAAAATTTAAAAAAAAAAATTATTAGCCAGGTGTAGTGGTGCGCACCTGTGGTCCCAGCTACTTGGGGGGCTGAGTTGGGAGGATCACGTGAGCCTGGACGCTCAAGTGCTGACAGTACTACCACACTCCAGCCTGGGTGACAGAGCAAGATCCTGTCTCAAAAAAATAACAATAAAGGTAGATATGCAATCAATAGAACAGAATTGAGAGTCAAGAAATACACTCTTAAAATTACGATCAATTGATTTTCAACCAGGCTGCCCAGACAATACAATGGAAAAAGAACAGTCGTTTTAACACATGGTGCTGTGACAACTGGTATCACCTGCGAAAAAATGAATCTGAACTTCTATCTCACACCATACATAAAAAATTAACCCACCGGCTGGGTTCTGTGGCATATGCCTGTTGTCCGAGGTACTCGGGAGGCTGAGGTGGAGAATCATTTGAGCCCAGGAGTTTGAGGGCACAGTGAGCCATCACTGTACCGGTGAATAGCTACGGCATTTGAGTCTGGGTAACACAGCAACATAGAAAGACCCCATCACTTAAAACAAATAATTTTTTAATTAACTGAAATGTATTAAAGACCTGGATATAGGAGCCCAAACTGTACAATTCTTAGAAGAAAGTATAGGAGTAAATCTTTATGACCCTTGGGTTAGGCAAAGCCTTAGGTAAAACATCAAAAGCACAAGCAACAAAACATAAAAAATAGAAAAACTAGAATTCATAAAAATTTAAAAACTTTTATAAGCTAGGCACAGTAATTCCTGTAATTCCAACACTTTGGGAGGCTGGGATAGGCAGATTGCTTGAGCTCAGGAGTTCAAGACCAGCTTGGGCAACATGGCGAGACCTAGTCTCCACAAAAGTATAAAAATAAGCCAGGCATGGTGGCACACACCTGCAGCCCCAGCTACTCGGGAGACTGAGATAGGAGAATCGCTTGAGCCCAGCAGGTTGAGGCTGCAGTGTGCTATGATAGCACTACTGCACTACCACCTGCGTAATGAAGCGAGACCCTGTCTCAAAAAATAAATAAATAACATTTTTATAAACGGATACACCAAATGTAATATATATACCTGCAATGAAATACAAATCAGCCTGAAAAAGGAATTAAATTCTGATACCTAATATAACCTAGATAAACCGTGAAAATATTATGTAAGTGAATAAATCAGACAAAAAAAGGCAAAACTGTTGAACAAATCCACTTGTATGAGATGTCTAGAGTAGGCAAATTTGTAGAGAATTAAATGTAAAATATAAACTATAAAAAATCTGGAAGATAGCCTAGAAAGTCTGGGTGATCTTGGTTTGTTGATGAGTTTCAAATACCGCACCAGAAGCATAATTCATGAAAGAAAAAAATTGATTGTGAACTTCATTAAAATTAAAAACCTCAAGGCCAAGTGTGGTGGCTCACGCCTGTAATCCCAGCACTTTGGTTGGGAGGCCAAGGTGGGCAGATCACTAGGTCAAGAGATTGAGACCATCCTGGCCAACACAGTGAAATCCTGTCTCTACTAAAAATACAAACATTAGCTAGGTGTTGTAGCACACGTCTGTGGCCCCAGCTACTCGGGAGGCTGAGGCAAGAGAACCGCTTGAACCCGGGAGGCGGAGGTTGCAGTGAGCCGAGATGGCACCACTGCACTCCAGCCTGTATGACAGAGGGAGACTCCATCTCAAAATAAATTTAAAACTTCAGCTCTGTGAAAGAAGTGTTAATTAAATAAAAAGGTAAGCCACAAACTAGGAAGAAAAATTTGCAAAACACATATTTGATAAAGGACTTGTAACAAGTAAATGAAAAACCATAAATCCATGATAGGAAAAAACGACAAACAAAAACAACCCTCCCCAGTCACTAATGAAGGTGTCAGGACACTAACTGATTAGTCTGAACATTGATAAAGGAAGTTTTTATCCTGCTTTTCCTATATGAAGTAATAAAAATTTGTCCTTATTGAAAAAGTTTAAGCCAGGCTCGTGGCTGTAATCCCAGCACTTTGGGAGGCCAAGGCCAGCAGATTACTTGAGGTCAGGAGTTCGAGACCAGCCTGGCCAACATGGTGAAACCCCATCTTTACTAAAAGTACAAAAATTAGCTGGGCATGGTGGCAGGCACGGAATCCCAGCTACTTGGGAGGCTGAGGTAGGATAATCACTTGAACCCGGGAGGCAGAGGTTGCAGTGAGCTGAGATTGCGCCACTGCACTCCAGCCTGGATGACCTAGTGAGACTCCAT